CCCAAAAACCCCCCCCACCCCCCCCCCCCCCGCTCAAGACCCTTTATCATCATCCCCTTCAGCCAGCCCCTTTCAAATCCCAGATCCCCACAAAAACACTCCTACATCCTGAGCATCCTGTGTACACCCTCATGGCTTCACACCCTACAACCCTTGGTACCACCCGCCACGGCTGGGCTGTAGGCAAACCCCCACCCAGGTACAATGCTGGATTGTCACCTGTCCCAGGGACAGGGACATCCTTGGGTTCGTCAGCTCTTATTCATCTGGAGGTCCTTAGGTCCTTGGATCTCCAGGGGGGCTTGGCTGTGCTGTAGGACTTGCATGTGTCAGTCCTCTGCTGGTGTTGTGGGGCTGCTCTGGGCCCTGCCCAGCTGCCCCGGGGGACAGCCGTGTGCCACACACCTCTGCCACCACAGCATCAAGCTCTGGCTTCCCCACATACACCTGGCTCATCTTGTGACAAGCGTTGACAAGCTTCTGTGGGTATTATTATCACCACCGCCCCAAAAAAAAGTCTAAGAGAGGTTGGTGTACCCAGATCCTACCAGCCTCAGGGCTCTCCAGTACAGCACCATCTCCAGTATCTCCCCGTCTACCACCAGTACCCAGTGGCCCCAATTTTTCCACTGATGTCGTGTGTCCTGCCCCCTGCTAGAAACCAGGCTTCCTCTCCGTGTTTTCCTAACCCTGGGCTGGGACTTTCTCTGGGTGGCTCTGGAAGGAGATTCTCAGCATGGGCTGCAGCAGGAACTGCATGAATGTAATGAGATACTAATGAGCCCAGGCTGCACCCAGGGGTGTGAGAGGCAATGCCCTGGGTATGTGAGCATTATTTGGGGCAACAGAGGCAAATCCTAGGCAGGAAGGAACCAACGGCACAAGGAGCTGGCATTTAATGTGCAAGACCGGCAGCAACGGGCTTAGGGCACCAAATCTGGAGCAAAGACTCATTTCCAGGGGAGTTCTCAGCACTGCAGGGGCCAGCCAACAGCAGGGGAAGGGATGCAGAGAGATGCTGTTGGTGGGCTAAGCCTCAGGGAAGATCAGGAAGCCAGAGAAGATGCTGTCGGACCCTTCGATCCCCACCAGGGAGTTCTTCTCTGTTGGCTCCAGCCAGACAGACTCGTCCACTGCCATCTTGAGGACCACACCACCCGTGGTGACCTGGTAGCTGCTGTGCACATAGTCGCAGAAGGTCACCACCTTCTCACCCCTGCTGCCACCCCGGCCCTTCTTCATATTGAGGCACAAGTTGCCCCTGGAGGTGACGTGGTAGGTGAAGTAGTAGATGCCCGGGACCTGACAGGTGAAGCGACCATACCGGTTCTCATAGTGACCCTTCTCATTGATGATGATGCGGTCGAAGCGGATGGGCTGCTCCCGGCGTGGGTAGGAGCTGACGGTCCTGGCAGCAGAGAAGGCAGACTTGACGGTGGCCTTGTAGTCACCGGAGTCCCCCGGAGGACCGGGGAGTCCCCTGAGACCTGGTAATCCCTTTGAACCTGGGGGACCCCTGGGGCCAATCTTCCCAGGGTACCCCGGCAATCCTGGGTCCCCCCTCTCCCCCCTGTCTCCTTCATGCTCCACCCGGCCAGGGGGACCTAGAAAGAAGGAGGAAGAGTCATTGCGGTCGCAGCCGAGCCCCATGGGTCTGCAGAGGGGGCACTGGGAAGGAAACCGCCAGTACCTGTGCTGGGATGCGGGTCAGTGGAGACCCATGCCCATACGGCAGGCATGACACCCCTTGGTCTCCTGCACCCTCCCTCCCCAGATTCCTCGGGGTGCTCCGGTCTGTCCAGCCCATTCTGTCCCCAAGCATCACCCCCACAGGACTGGTGGAAAATGGATTGCTTTCCCAGCACCATGCACCTGGCACTGCCTGGTCCTGCACCTGGGTCAGCGCAACCCCCGGTATCAGTACAGGCTGGAGGATGAAGGGATTGAGTGCAGCCCCGCCGAGAAGGACTTGGGGATACTGGTGGGTAAAAAGCTGGACATGAACCAGCAATGTGCGCTCGCAGCCCAGAAAACCAGTCATATCCTGGGCTGCATCAAAAGCAGCGTGGCCAGCCAGTCGAGGGAGGTGATTCTGCCCCTCTGCTCCACTCTGGGGAGACCCCCCTGGAGCCCTGCGTCCAGCTCTGGCGTCCACAGCACAGAGAGACGTGGACATGTTGGAACGGGTCCATAGGAGGGCCACAAAAATGATCAGAGGGATGGAGCACCTCTGCTAGGAGGAAAGGCTGAAAGAGCTGGCGTTGTTCAGCCTGGAGAAGAGAAGGCTGCGGGGAGACCTTATTGCAGCCTTTCAGTACTTAAAGGGGGCTTATGAGAAAGGTGGGGACAGACTTTTTAGCAGGGCCAATAGCGACAGGACAAGGGGGAATGATTTTAAACTAAAAGAGGGGAGATTCAGACTAGATGTAAGGAAGAAATTTTTTACAGTGAGGGTGGTGAAACACTGGCACAGGTTGCCCGGAGAGGTGGTAGATGCCTCCTCCTTGGAAACATTCAAGGCCAGGCTGGATGGGGCTCTGAGCAACCTGATCTGGTTGTAGATGGCCCTGCCAATTGCAGGGGGGATGGACTGGATGGCCTTTAAAGGTCCCTTCCAACCCAAACTATTCTATGATTCTATGATTTTCCTACTCTCAGTATTCACAAGATGACGTTTTCCCCACTTGCAGCCTCCTCCTTACCTTGCTCGCCCTTTTGGCCTTTCTCACCGTCTCTGCCGTTTCTGCCAGGCTGTCCTGGTGACCCTGGGATGCCTGGGATGGTGCCATAGGTCTTACAGAGTGTGGCACTTGCAAGCTGCCCTCCAGCCAGGCAGATCAGCATTGCCCACACGGTCTGCATCTGCTGGAGCACAGAAGGATATCGAGGGGCTTGCCATGGGCAGTGGGAGGGACGGGAAGGCGCTCTGTGCTACTCTGGAGGATGATGATGAGAAGGGCTTCTGGGTAATACCATCAGGGAGGGAAAACACCCTGCTGCAGAGCCAAATCTGCTCACCTGATGGCCTTGAAGGGACCAGCCCCTTTGGGCATGGAACGGCTTGTCAGTCTCTTCCCACTCTTAAATTACCAGTTTACAAGTGCCCAGAGTTTCAGCCACATGAATATGTGGGGACAGGTTAGCCTGTCCCAGAGGTCTGATGTCCAGCCTGGCTGTGCTGCTGCCCTGGACATGTGCTGCAGGTCCCTACTGTTCTGAGTCCCCACTGCTCCCTCAGAGGAGAAATTCTCCATCCCATCTTAGGACCACAACGGTAGGGTAAAATCCTTCCCCGGGCCAGAGCAGTTTCATCATCTGCAAGGCAATAGCTCTTGCTTTCCACCAGCATATCTGAGGGTCAGCTTTAGTCCTTGCAGATGCCAAAGAAATCCCCAAACCTGCCCTCCTAACTCCTGTGGGTTCCCATTGTGTCCTGTCTCATCCCTGCTTCATCTCAGGAGCATTTCTGTATCTAACGAGCCTTACTGGGACAGTCATCTGGGCTTCCAGTCCCTGGGGTCCAATCTTCCTTCTGCCCTCCCTGCATCCCACGGCTCAGCTCCTTCCTCCAGCTCCTGGTGCAGGTGCATGTCGGGTAAGCACTGGGCATTTGGGGACTGTATCTGGACATCACCCCAGCCACACTCTCTGGCTGCAGATGGATTTTCCCAGCACTGAAACTCTGGTGTCAGTGGGAAAAGAGGCCGGTGAGTCAGATCCTCCAGCCTCAGCAGCTCTGATTCAGATGTGGCAGGTGCAAGGACCAATCCGCAGGCTCCCAGTCCAGGCCCAGGCAGATGACAAAAACATCTCAGGGCAGGAGAGCACCCCCAGGGCACCCTTCAGACTGATGCTCAGTCCCTGATCACCCCCCTGGGCCTTTGCCATCTCTCCTTTCCATCTGCCCCCTCCCCCAGGTGGGGCAGGAGGGGTTGGGGTCCCACCAGGGTTCCCCATCTCCCCCAGCCCAGCAGCCCCCTTTCTCTTCTGCCAGTGATGCAAGGGGTGACCGTCACCCTGGTGCTGCTGGGATCCCCGTGTGCTCCTGCCCGCAGCAGGGAGCTGGGGCTCAGCCTTGCCAATGGCTTGCTCTTACCTTGAACGTCTTGTTGCACGGACCGGGGAGATGGAGCAGGACACAACAGCGTCCTGCTTGGAAATGACCACAGGAGGAAGCAGAATTTTGCTGCAAGGGCTGTTCTGAAAGGATCTGAGCCACATCCCTTTTTTATATTTAGCTCCTGCCCTTTCTTCAGTAGCACTTTCATATCCTCCACAGATGCTGTCTGTCAGATCAGCAGGACATGCCGTCCCCAAATGGCACTCTGGGGCCCCTCAGGCATACAGCTCTGGCCCCGGGGAGCAGAGGGGTGTCCACTCTGCCCTGCATGGTCCCTGGGTCCTGCTTAGGTGTGCTTGCTATGGGGAACACTGCCATGAGCTCCAGACAAGTTTGGGGTAACCCCTCAGGACTGCAGAAATGTGCATGCACTTAGCTAGCATCCCTCAGGCTTCTCCGTACATACCCAGCTCTGCTGGGAGGTACCAGCAGGCCCAGAGGATGCTACAGGGTCTCAGCATCCATCACCTTGAATCTGTCCCCCAGACTCTCCCAAATGTTATGGATGGGAAGTGATTTCACCCTGTGGTAAAAGCATTTCCAGTCCTGCTTTCTGCTGATGCCTTGCGGAGGTGAAGCACGGGATGTTCAGGGGACATGACCTCTTTTTCCACTGTAAAATGTGTGCCACCAGGAGGAACCTCCATTGGGTTTTGGTGGCCTCCGTAGCCTCCACAGCCATGAGCTCCTTCGGTCTGGCTCTGGGAAGCCAGTGCTTCCCCTGCCCTGTCCCTGGTGAGGCTGGGACCCTGGGGATGCCCCAGCCACTGGGGGCATGGCTATGAGGTTTGCTGTGTGGTCTGTGGTTCTCTGCAACTGAATTGCATCCACTTGGAGGGGAAGGGGAGTATCAGGACCCCTGCTTGGAGGAGTCTTGGTCCCCCCCCAGGTGGGGGCTGTATGCATGGGCACAGGAACCATCCCCTTCCTGCAGCCGGTGCAGCTGGGGGTCCTGCCCCACTGAGCAAAGCCAGGGTTGTGAATGGTGTGTGATGCTCACTGATGCTGAGCACGGCTGAGCCAGTGAGGGCTCGGGGATGTTCTGTTGCCACACAGATGTCCAGATGTCACGCACACACGCACATGCACGCCTGCATACCACATCCATGCGGTCACACGTGGGCTCCACCTGCAGAAAGGCAAGTCATGGAGGAAAAAACACACTAGGCCAGGCACACTGTGGAAGGTTTTACTGAAACTTTCTACAGCTGCGTCATGGCAAAGGTGCTGCTGCAAGCCTGCTCCAGGACACCTGGCTGTCCTTGGTGCAACCCAGGTGGGAAGGGGAGAGATGCAGAGAGACCTCTGGCTCCGGCAGCAGAAGGTAACGTAGGGTTATGAAGGTGGATGCATGTGGCAGAGCCAGCAGGACCCTGGGGGCTTGGCACCATCACTCTGGGTGCAGATGCATCCAGACGTGCCTGTTCCCCCTGTTCAGCTGCTGCCTGCACTCAGTCCCCAGGCCAAGGGGTTGTCTCTGGCAGCTGGGGCTGACCCCCTCACTGGGCCTTCCCACCCTTCCCACCTGGAGCATCAACAACAGCCTGGCGGTGAGCAGCAGTGTTTGCAGGGTAGGGCGAAGAGGTCAGCATGCTGGGGTAGGCTCTGGTGGTCTTCTAGTCTGGGAAGAGCAGGAACCCCGAGAAGACACTGTCGGAGTTGCCGATGCCCACCATGCCATTGTAGTCGTTCACTGCCAGCCAGACCTGGTTCCCAGCACCCAGCTGGAGGAGGATCCCACCAGAGCTGACCTGCATGGTGTTGGTCTTGTGGTCACAGAAGCTGGCCATCTTTCTCCCGTTCTTGTACAGAATGACACAGAGGTTGGCTGTCTGCGAGGTGTGGAAGACAAAGTAGTAGAGGCCAGGGAGCTTGCAGGTGAACATGCCCGTGGTGGTGTTGTAGTCGTCATTGGTGTTGGTGATGACGTGATTGAACACCACGGGGACGTTCTTCAAGGGGTACTCGCTGGTCTGCCTCATCACTGAGAATGCTGACTGGTGCTTCTGCTTGTAGCTGCCTGGCAAACCCGGCTCTCCAGGCATGCCCATCATCCCACTGTCTCCAGGGGGACCAGGGAGACCGACGGGGCCAGTCTTGCCTGGGATGCCAGGAGCGCCCGGTTCCCCTTTCATGCCTTTGGGCCCTCGTGTTGCTTGAGTGGCTGGGATGCCTGTGGAGTAGTGGGGAGTGGAAGAGACTCAGTGTCAATGGCAGGATGTGGGGAGAGGCTCCTCCAGCCCCTTCCCTCGGGCAGGAGGCAGCAGTTGCCATTCTCCGGCCTCCTCTCCTCCTGCCCTGTCCACAGCGCATGCTCTCCACGGCCTGCAAACCAAGGCAGACCGGCCACAGGGGACTCAATGGCCCCCCTTCAACAGCCTGCATGGTTCCCCTCCTTGCTCACTCACCTGGCTCGCCTTTGGCTCCCTTCAGCCCATCCCGGCCGTCCTTGCCTGGCACACCCGGCATGCCTGGCAGGCCTGGAATCCCATAGCAGCTGTGAGAGGTATCTCCAGTCACAGCAGACCCCAGAATCAGGAGTAGGAGGGTGAGGGCCAGATGGAGCTGCTCCCGGAAGCTCTTCCCCATTTTGGTGCTCTGGAGCATAGAAAGGGAAAGTGCGTGCTGTGGTGAGGGGCCACAGCAGGGTGGCTTCCAGGCCATGGGGCAAAGGAGGTACCGCGCTATGAGGCTGACTGCACCAGGAGCACCTGGCTGCGATGGCTGTGCCCTCAGTGTCCCTGCCATACCAATTGCCAGGCGGTGGGGAGGCAAATATGTGAAGACGGACCCTGGTCTCACTACCACCCCCAGGGCAGCCCCTGATGGCAGAAGACAGGGTTGGACTTCAGTCTGGATGGAGCCATGAGGTCTTGCAGTACCCATGGCCAGCCCCAAGCTCTCCTGGTCCAGTGTCCCAAATCCCTTGCAGATGCATACGTCGCTGCAGACCGTTGCACCATGCTGCACTGAAGCCGGAGCTCCCTGGACCCAGCTGATCTCACCCCTCCTCCAGCAGCAGCCTGACTTCCCTGGCTCTGTCCATCAGGATCAAGCCACCCATCAGCTAGGGATCTCCCAGGACAGTGCCTGGCCCAGGGGACTGCGTCTTCCCTCAGCAAGGACAAGCGTGAATCCCCCATGACATGTGTGCAGCCTGGCAGTGCCTCTGTCTCCTTCTCCTCCTCCTCTCACATAGCCCAGCACTGTTCCATGCTGCTGGACCCCCACTCCCCATGCAGCCCACCCCAAAGAGATGGACCCTGCAGCGCCTCTTACCTCTGCTGGGGGGAGCAGGGTACGGGATCCTGCACTGCTGAGCCCTCTGGCTGCTGTGGGCGCTGCCTGCCAGCACAGCACAGTGTGGGTGACTCTCTGTGACACCCTCCTGGAGGAAGTCACAGAGTTAGAAAAGGGCCCTTGGAGACCCAGAACCCCCAGCTGGCCCCCAGCCGAGTTTCACGTCCTCCTGCCTGATCGTTTCCTCTGAGCAAGCACTTTCCTGGCTGTCCAGCGAGACCTGCACTCGTGCCACTGCAGCAGCAAGGGCTGGAAGGACAGAAGTGGGATGAGCCGCTGGCAAGAGATGTGCCACTGACCCTCCATCCACCACAGGGAGTATCGCTCTGCAAATCACCTGCCTTTCCCCCTTCCTTAACTTATTTCTGAGTAGAAGGGCAGCAAGCAGATGGGGAGCACACCCTCACAACCAGCTTCGTGGAGGCAGAGCCATCTGTGCAACGATGGCCTGGTGCAAGGTCATCGCCCAGCTCTGAAGGGAGATGCTGCACCCTTAGGCAATGGGACTGAAAGACATTTCTCCCTGAGGGTTTCTGACCTGCAGGATGGCTGTCCTCTCTGCACCCTGCCCTGTGCTCCACCAGCTCTGCTGGGTGCTGAATGCACTGCGGCCCGACCATCCCCCGTCAGGGTGTTGCTCCTCGTAGGTGACCTGGCCTCCTCCTCACTGCTCCAGAAATGGAGACATTTGGCTGCCCAGCATATGTGGAGCAGCTCTTCC